CTCGAACAAATGTTGGTAGGTCTTGGCGCACCCTGGTTGTTGAGGGGTTGGGCATTGCTGGATACCCTCCTACACTCAAGCTTATCGGCTAAACACCTGAGAACCTGGTTGTGTCTCCACGTGTACCTGCCTTGGATGAGACTGGTCCTACAACCAACCAAAATGTGCTTGAGGGTTGCTGGGGCTGTACACAGGGGGCAAGATTGATCCTTTCCGAGCCATAACTGCAAATTTATAGGAGAGGGCAGAACATCGCATGTGGCTCGGACAATGAAGCTCAGCCTGTTGGATTCCGTGGTCCAGAGATCGCTCCATGTGAATTTCCTCTTTTCGACATCCTCCCAGCCCATCCAGCGACCCTGTTTAGCTTGTGCTACTGCTCTGGAACACCTGGCTGCCTCCTCCTGTCGTCGCACCTCCTCTACCACCATGGTTCGGCGTTCTGTTGAAGAAGCCTTTTGCCAGAGAGGTGTTGCTGTTCCAAGGCCAAGGCCTCCTGTATCTTGTTGAACGTGACCCACTATGTCACGATGGCGAAGAGCAGATTTGGCCTGTTGCACAGATGTGGCTGGGGTCCACTTCTTCCCTGTTGCTAGGGTAGGAGCGGCACCTCTCACTACGGGGTCTCTGGAGTCATTAAGGGACATGTCCAGTCTCACCTTGGCACATTTGAACTCTTCAAACAGGCTAGAAATTGGGAGTGACAGGGCTCCTTTGCTTTAAAGTCCAACAATACTGAGGCATTTTGGAAGTCCAAGCCACTTCCTCACATGAGAGTTCACTAGCCTTTCCAGTCGCATGGGCATGGGTTAGCGAGACCTCGTACATGGTCAACGGCCACAGGAGTCTGGGTAGTAACCCGAACTGGAAACACCAGAGCTTAAGTTTTCCTGGGAGTTCCGTGTTGTTAATCTGCCTGAGGCCGTTAGCAGTGTCCTGCCGGAGTTGTCCCAGCTGCTGGGTGTCTCTGAGGTCTGCAATATACCATCGTCTGAGGCTCTTGATGGACTTCTCTAGGACTGTTGGAATTGGTTCGTTACTAATGTAGAACCGCTCAACTGTTAGGTGGCCTTTAACAACGGAGATGCTGCGAGATTTACTCGGCTTGAACTCCATTCGTGCCCACTGGATGTTTTCCTGGAGTTTCTGCAGCAAGTGTCTAGTACATGGTTTTGTTGTTGTAATGATAGTCATATCATCCATGAATGCTCTAACTGGCGGAAGCCGCAGCCCATTCCTAATTCTCTCACCTCCCACAACCCAGCGAGACGCACGTATGATCAGCTCCATTGCCATTACAAATGCAAGGGGGGAAATGGTGCAACCTGCCACAATGCCCATTTCCAGATGCTGCCAGGCAGTAGTGTTATTCTCTTCTGTTACACAGAACTGGAAATCCTGAAAATATTTCTTTTTTGGTGATTTCTGGGTGGGTGAACTATACCTTTAATAATTTATTTTATTAATTTTATTATTATTACTATGGACATAGGAAATTATTTCTTTAAGGAAATGATACTCTAAATAATAAACTAAAACTGCCAATAGTCATTTATGGGTGGGTGAACTATACCGTTAATAATTTATTTTATTAATTGTATTATTATTACTATGGAAATAGGAAATTATTTCTTTAAGGAAGTTATACTGTAAATAATAAACTAAAACTGCCAGTAGGTGGAGGTAAATGACTTAATGATTAAGTCATTGAGTCATTTATTCATTCATTTGATTCGTTCACATGGCTGATTCATTCAGGAGTGAAGTAAATGGTTCTTTATGAATGGTCCATTGAATCATTAGGCTTGTTCGACTTGAAGCGGATCATCACCATCACATCGATCGGTGTGTGACTTCAAAGTACAGCAAGAGCTATAGAGAGCAGACAACTCTGCATGTTTTTGAATCGCTCTCACGGTACTTTGATGTCATACACCGATCGGTCTGTGGAGCGCCACTTCAAATCCAACGCGCCTATGGCCAGTGGATCAACGCGCCAAATGGTTCACCCAATTCGTTCAAAACGTGCATTAAGTAATGAAATGCCACTGTGTGTTGCTCGGAGACGAACATTTCTGCTTTGTCTTTATATTTTCGTTGGCAAAATTGAGCAAAACAGACAACACAGTATTAACTTCTTATTTACTGAACTGTTGTATAAGATCAGTATCACATTTGCACTTGTGTGACATTGCACTTAGTCTATTGCTCGTGTGATATTGCTTAACTATATGATGTAAATATGAGACAAAAACTCAACTCAAAACTCAAACTCAAATATATCTTGAATTTTAGAGACATTATAACTACGTTCTCTAGGCTCCATTATGCAGTGAGTTGTTGCCGTGCCTCATATTTGTCATCAATCAACTGTATGAAATGACAGATGACCTACATAGGTCTGGGGCGGGGCAAGTGTGTTGGATGCGTTAATAATTTTAACGAGTTATTTTTCACGTAATTAATTAATCTAATTAATGCTTTCAATTGCCAGCCCTAATATATATATATATACTGTATATATATATATATACACAGGTGCATCTCAATAAATTAGAATGTCGTGGAAAAGTTCATTTATTTCAGTAATTCAACTCGAAGGTCAACAATTCACTAAAAATGTTTTTTTTTTATTGGTCTTATGAAGTATTCTAATTTGTTGAGATAGTGAATTGGTGGGTTTTTGTTAAATGTGAGCCAAAATCATCACAATTAAAAATAGACACAGAACATGAAAGGTATAAACAAATGTTGATCATTAGTGTGAGATTGGAAATACTTTGTACAGTGTCATATGTCAATATGTTGTTGATAATCTAGTGTCTGGTTAATACATTCATCATACCAGTACTTAATTTGTAAATTGCGAGGTCCCGGAACAAAGTGGGGTGATGGATCCGGCATGATTATAGGAGGGAGAGGTAACGGAGCATTGGCGCAATGGAGGACCAGCTTACGTGATTAACAGCATGCATCTTCTTACGGTCATGAAAAAATGTGAAAAGTCATGACATTTTAAAACAGCCATTTCCAGGCCTGGCGCGCCGCCTCGCGAGTACCAAATTGAGTTATTTTTCACAGCTTGCTGCGCTTACACAGCCAAATAAACACAAAAAATGATGTCAAACTGGCTGTCCTGGCGATTATCCTCGTAGACACATACTATCAGATTAAATCAGTCATTTGAAAACAGCGTGAGTGATTCAGCTGTACCGCGTCTTCTCTCGCTCTCAAAGCGGCTTCACAACAGCGCATCTCGTCTGCACTGCTGCACGCTGCGATACAAGACTTTTGCTCGGATTTCGGGACAGTCGACAGAATTGTCACTTGCCTAATCGAGTCATTGTTGCATCGTCACAAAACTGTATCATTTGCACATCTTTTTAAGTTTAAGCCATTCGATACTCGCGTGCTCCAAAGGGGGTTTCCTATGCGCTCACGG